TTTTGCAATACTGGGGATCGTACTCAGGACCTTGTGCTTGTGAGACAGGCACGGTGCCACTGAGCTAAATCCCCGGCCCTGTATTGTTTTGGTTTTTGAGACAAGCTCTTGCTATATTTAGTTTAGGCTGGCCTTGAGTTATGGATCCTGGTGCCTCAGCCCTCGGAGTATTGGGATTACAGATGTGTGACCACCACTCCCAGCATAAAGTTGTTATATTACTGAAAAGGTAAAAGTATATAAGCAGGTAGCACCTTCAACAAATAGCTACCAATGCTATGGCTGAGGAAACAGAGGGATGAAGTTGGAATGATTAAAATATATAAGCTTAGAGGAAAGGCTTCACAGAGTTGAAGTTTCAACCTTTTGGGATAGGTTATTGCCCCAGATGGCATTGGGTTCTCAGAGCTTGGAGGAGAGTTCCTGAGGCCCAGGCCCCAGAAGAGGCGGCCCACCGATGAAGCTGGCTCTGCAAGTGCTGGCAAAACCTGCAGCGGCATTCATCAACTGTGACAGGAAAGCACTCCTACTGCCAAGGGTGAAGAAGAGTTGCTGGGATGGAAGGAGCAAGACCTTTCTCCCTCCAGCCTTGCTCAGTGTAAGGGGCAAAGCGAAATGGGGGTTGCAGGATCTCAGCCCTGTGCTATGAAGGGAAGTATGGAGGGGCTCTGCAGCTGCACAGGGAATCCTGTGCAGGCATATCCCAGATTCCCAAGTTTTTGATGATTACTTTTTCTGCAGGTTGGCCTTGCCACAGCTGACCATTCTGGTCCAGAGAGAGAGACTGAGACGGCCATGGATCGACTAGGCAAGTAGATGGCAAGACTTGGGTGGCTGTTGGGAGAGATAGAGGAAAGTTGAGAGGACAGTCCCTGTGTCTTGTTTACCTTTCTAGCTGGTCCTTTTTTTTGGTACGGGAGATCGAACTCGGGTCCTTGTGCTTGTGAGGCAGGCAGCGGAACCACTGAGCTAAATCCCTGGCTCTTGAATTATATTCTTTAATTTAACATTGTGATATCATTGGGAGAAGCACTCAGTGCGTTTTTATTTAAAGTTTAACTTAATAAGGCCAGGGATTTAGCTCAGTGGTTCTGCCTGCCACGCAAGCTCAAGGTCCTGAGTTAGATCCCCGGTACCAAAAAAAAAATGTTTAACTTAATACTGTATTATTTTCTCATGCCATTAAACTTAAAAACATTGAATGAAGTTGGGCATGGTGGCACATGCCTATAATCCCAGCACTCTGGAAGGCTGAGACAGGAGGATCACAAATTCAAGCCCAAGTTGGACAACTTGGCTACACTCTTCCTCAATATAAAAAGTGAAAAAGGGGTGGGAATATAGTTCAATGCAAAGGTCCTGGATTCAATCCTTAGTCCTACTCCCCTTTCCCCAAATTAATTTCCCCAATTGAATTTATGGCATTCCGTTGAAAAATAAGCCATGACTTGTTTTAGTAATTTAATCCTCTATGGTTAGATCATTCCTGATTTTTATTATAAATGCTTTTCATATTAATGAAGATAATGTGCTTTTCGTGTTTCTCTTGTCTTCATGTTCTTAGATGATTTAAAAACCCTTTCTCATTTATGTTTTTAATGTATTAAGATTATTAGTCTTTTGATTGTCTCTCAATTGTTGCAAATAATTTTACACATCCTCACCCCACTTTCTTTTGTGGTGCTTTTTGGTGCTGAGAGTTTTGTTGTTGTTTTGGTGGCATTGGAGATCGAGCCCATGGAAGCCCTGACCTACAGCCCGAGTTTTTTTTTTCGGTCTCAGATATCAAACTCAGAACCTTGCGCTTACAAGGCAGGTGTGGTGCCTCTGAGCTAAATCTCTGGCCCCAGCCCGAGTTTTTTATTTTTATTTTGAGACATAGTCTCATTGAGTTCCCCACGCTGGCTTCAAACTTGTGATCCTCCTGGCTCAGCCTCCCAAGTACCTGGGATTATAGACATGAATCACCACACCTAGCACAATGTGTGTGTGTGTGTGTGTGTGTGTGTGTGTGTGT